ATAACAGCTGCTTCCTCCGCAGAAATGCAGACTTTAACTGAACAACAGCTGCTAGTAAAGACAACAAGGTCAGCAACACCTGTAATCAGTTGTCCGTGTTGAATTAACCTGGCGGTCGATCGATAATCAAGACCACATTGTTTGTGATCTTACGGGAAACGGTCACGTGATATGGGCGTGACGAATCAGGGAAGGACACGCCGTGACTGCTTAGAACCAATCAAGTACCAAACATGGGAGTGTACGTCATCGTTTCTAAAGTTATGCGTTTACGAGCGTCCACATGAAGAGGTAACCCCGGAGTTTTCAAAGTCCTCCGTTTTCGGTGCTTTGAAAACTCCGGCGTAGTGTGGCCACTCAGTGTAAACGTAGCAAAACATATGCGTTTGCAAATGTAAACGTAGTAGTGTGGACATTGTGAGAAATTTAAGTTTAAAAGCATTCCTAGTATGTTTAGAGGCACTCATAGTGGTGGATATTATATGTCATAATGTGTTTACTTGTAGAAGTTTAAACCAAGGATTGTGGTCATTGAATGTATTGAGTGTCTGTGAGAGGGGGGTTTCCAGGTCACGACCATATAAGGTGGTGAGTGAGGTATGTGCCAAGAGCAGGGGATGGACGAAAGCTGGCTGCAAGGAGGGGTGTCTGACCAGAAGAACGGGTCATAGGCCAAGGAGGAGCTTATCGGATTTCAGCCAATCACTGAGCTGATCGATGTAGTGAAGAATGTGGAACATGAGACTTTTCCAGACTTTTCCTTGGGACAATAGGACTGTGGATCTCCGGACGTCTTCAGACTCTCTGCGGGCCATCGGCCAGACACACCAGTCTGCCGGGTGGCCTGGATTGGGCCTCTATTTCATGAAATATTATGTTATTAATAGTGTGATTCGGTTTGTAACTGTTTTGCATTTGTTGGATAATAAATCCTTTTCATTTCAACTTGAACCAGCTGTTTTGTTTTGGAAACGTACGAGAAGCACATGGCTGCAGTGAGAGGGGTGGCTACTATCTGTGTTCAAAAGTTCTGGCCCTAACAACATGGCCTCAGTCTTTGACAAAAAATAACATGGAAATAAATATCGGTTATTATAATTTTATTTTTTGCACAGTGGACAATCTTTCAAAGGAAACAGCTCTTATCTTGGAGTTTGAGGTGATACAGTGTCCTGAAAATAAAAAATGTTTTAATATTTTACTAAAATGACGTCGCTGTCAGGCGCCTTTCCCTGCAGGTGGCTAATCATGAGTTGCAGACCCCCGCCCTCGGTAAACTATCAATGGATAAACCCCCAAAAAAGAAAAGTCACGGAGGAAAATAGAGAGTTTAATTCTGCGTGGACGTATTCCTTTGCTTTCACTGCCAACAATGCTGGCTTACCTGTATGCTTGATATGTGCCGAGAACTTTGCAAATACACTTCCAGAACAAACACACAGCATTTACTGAAAAGTATCGCGCTGGAGATGAGCGAAAAAGAGCGATTTCTCAACTGCTGCAGCAAAATGAGCACGTGTTTTTCTCCTCTTCATAAGAGTTTGATATTGTTCTAACAGGTATAATAGCAATAAAATGTCAAGAATTGTCTTTATTCTTGTTCTATATTTTCATAAATACAACAAACTATAGTTTTTGTATATATAATCTAACTATATATACAACTTTATATGCTGTGATATCAAATAGCTTTTGCAGCTCCAGACAAATTTTATTTGGTGGAAAATAGAGCAAAATGGCTCTTTGGATAGAAAAGGTTGCCGACCCCTGGCCTAGTGAAAGAAAAACTTGCAAAACTGGTACTATAACATATCGTGTGACTTTTTAAGCTGAACGGTGACACAGCCAATTAGTTTGGCATTCTTCATATAGTGCACCGTAAGGTGACGCTCATCAGTCTGCGGTCTAAAGACAACAGGCGGGTCTGGAAAGACCCACAGCGATAACAGAAGCTGCTGACAAGCAAGAGGCACAAAGGCTGAACAAAGAGCACTAAGCGGCATTAGGGAGAGTCAATCCATTACACTCAAGGAACAGTTCTGCACTGAGACCCCAACCGTTGACCCACAACCTGACTGAACCTGACTGGTAATGCCAAATTTGTGACCTGAACCTGACCCAAGACCATATACTGTTTATACATAGTGACAAAAACGCGTACAACTGACGGATCAGACAACGCCGTGGTAGTGACCTGTCAATCACAAGGTAGCCCCGCCCTAAAGCATACCCTGCTTTATGGTCAATTTCAGTGATTTTCAACCAGTGTGCCGTGAGAGATCGTCAGGTGTGCAGTGGGAAAATGTCTAATTTCACTTAATCGGTCCAAATATAATATTATTTAGTTGCTGCAAATAATTTGCCATTGTTGAGCGTCTAAGCTGCAACATAGTGGCTGGCTAAGTAGTTAAATACTCTTCCATGCCAGTGGGTGGCCGTAGGTAGTGCAATAATGACCGTGTTAATTCAAGACAGTAGAATTAAATGACAAGATGAACAGCGGTGGCAAAATATTTGAAAAGGAAAAATGCTGAGCCCTGGACAACATTCTAACCCAGATGAAAAGCCTTTTTCATAAATAAATATTAGAATCATACTGTCTCAGTTGACAACAGTCAATCTGATTATGTCTCTTACTGAGTCTACAAAGTTAATAAAACATAGCATAGTTAGCATTTCTAGTTCATTCTAGGGGTTTATCTCTCGTTGCACGCATGAATTATAAATGCACATATACATCTGTATATGTGTATACAGGTGCAGTCCGCTATATTGTCTTAATTTAACAAACTAACATTCACATCTAGATGATTCTAGTTTTCCCCTTTTCATTTATATATTATTATATCTATTAATAATCCAATGGTATAAAATATAACAACACAAGAAACCAGCCCTACCACCTCTGCCCATTAGTGGAAATATTTCTAAAACTCTTGAAGACTTAATCTGAGAGAGAGTAATGCCTTTTTTTCAGTACGAAAAGCAGCAGGAGCCAGAAAACTGCTCTTGCCTGACTCCACATTTAGCTGCCCCAGAAGCATGACATATGTAAAACAATATACTTCATGTTCATAACCAGATCATACAGTGGAACCAGCTATGAGCAGAGCCCCTGACCCAGCCACAGCTCCAGGTCCTGATATTATGAAGGATACAATCTGCATTACAACTCTCCCTCCAGTGTTCTCCATCTTCTCTCTCCTATCGATGAAACTCACAAGAAGACTGGTGGTTAACCTGTAACATATATACTGAGGACTCACCTTGCAAAACACACCGACTATTCAGTAGTACTGTGTCTAAAATGTGTACCAGAAGTGGGCCAGTCTTCACAGTCGTCATATTCATACGACGGTCCATGTCAAAGGGATGGATGTGAAGGCTGGCTAACCGATGGAAGGGGAAGCAGCATGGTGACTGCAGCAGGCAGCTGACCCATGAACGTGGCTGCCACACCCAGGTCAAAAGCCTTTATACGAGCTGCAGCTATTACAGAAAGTCACGGAGGGTTTAAGCTGCATTTCAGTGATGCAGGAAATGAGAGTGTTCAAGTCTGAGCCCACTGAACAGGTAACCTCAGAGAAGCTAAAATTGCGTCTTTTTACACTGTTTTCAAATAGAATCAGCTTGTTTGCTTTCTCATTTCCAGAGTAGGATACAAGATTAATATCAATTTATCTCTGTACATTCAATGCAAAGATACTGAAGCACTGATTGTGTTTGATCTAAATACTGGGAACATGGGCTGACAACCGTGATATCAAAGAATAATAATAATATGGATATCACGTTAATAATGTACATATGATAATGTGTAACTAATCCTGCACCTCTTAAATAATACAGTTATGGTTACTGACTGTCTATCCAAATTCCAGCATTTGTATTTTAAATTAAATGAATTTGCCAAAATGCAGAATAAACAAAGTTAAAGATGAATTTGACTGATAGTATTATTATAAAATATTTTCAAATTTTCCTAGATATGTCGATAATATCAGTAGGGCTGTAACAAGTCCTCAAGAAACTCGAGTAGATCATTGATTCCGCACAGTTAGCTGTTAGCTAACTGCTAATGGGTGGCACAGTCCTGCTTGGCTAAATAATGAAGCTAACAGCTAATACTAAAAGAGATTGCATTGAGTTATTCAGTAAATATGTGACAGCTTTAGTGGAAAGTGACTAGATCCTGAGTACTTCACCCAAGTATACTTTGGAGCTCATTTGTCCACACTGACCTCAAAGCAGTCTGTCTGTAATGCAGGTCCAATGAAAGAGGAGTTATCTCTGTTCCCCAGCTCAATATATTCTGAATATGACACAGTAAGGAGACCTTTCAAAGGGTTTTATGTTCTCAGCAATGTTTTTTGTTCCCTTAGGTCAAATGTTCAATGTATGTGTCCCTGGGTTGTTTATGTTGAGATCACCCACAGCTTACAGACTACTCAAATGTGCGGTGTTGTTGATATCAGACATTGATATCTCCACAGTGGCAGAACAGATTTTCACCATTCAATCTGCTTTTGAAACATCCACCCCCCTTAGCCCAGGGACCTGGTAACATAGGGGTGGTCTCCACAAAATCCAGTCCTCCGTCTGCACAAAGTACAAAGTTAAGTCAAAGGTAATTTCAGTGTTCAGCAGTTACAATTAGTCAAATCAACTTGGTATCATAGGTTTCATTCTGTCGAGCACAGGATTTCGTATTTGTGCTGCTTTCCCTCCTTTTGAGCTAAAAAGCATAATAGTATTGAAAATGTCAAAGCTTCACAACAGCTTCAGAAGAATGCACAGAATGAGGACTGGTGGTATCACTTGAGATGTAAGAAGGATCTCATCAAAGCCAGTATGGACAGGAAGAAGACCTGTCAGAGCACAATGGCATGTGAGTATTGTGTTATAGATAGACTTATTATAATAATAATTCTGAACCAGCAGATCTCTATTCTTATACCAATTTAAGGGAAAAATACATTTTACAACAGCTTGACAGTTGCAATGGTGAGATGTTTTTTTATTCTCATAAAGCAATTAATGTAGTGTCTATATACGACTTTTTTTTCTATAAATATAAAGGTTCTCTTCATAGCAAATGCAAAAGGAAATTACTTCAAAGCTGCGACTATTGTAGAGCTGTCAGCACAATGAAAGGATTATTATGAACCGGAAGCGCGGTGTGGAGGAGCATTTGACAAGAACAAGAAAGTCCTGATGTATGCGTGAGGCGAGCTGCACTGACAGCAGCCACTCAGCGCCTCCTCACAAGGCCTCCTTTCTCCTGCAGGGAGAAGACATGCGAGCTGCCGGCTGCTCTCAATCCCACCGCCATCACATTACTCTGCAGGAGCAACCCCAGGTCTCCTCTCAACAACAATAACTGACATATTCAATCTCCGGGTTCAAAAAAAGTTAAAATATTGTTTTTTTAAATGTGCCCGTACAAGTGAATCAAAAATAGGCTTTGTTACAAACATTTATGATATGTGCATGATCAATCAACCTCTATCAACTGCAGATATAAGCGTGTTTACAGTGCCGTGTTGAGGTTTGGACATCCTTTAAGCTTTTGAACAATGTGTTATTCTACAGGGTTTATTCTCTAAATGCTGCAGTCATTATAAAAAAGTGTTCAAACTTATATCCCTTGTGCCATCAGGCTTTTAAAGAAATATAACCAGAATATAACACATGCGGGTGCATTCACTGTTCAGTATCTGACATCACCTCAACTCAGACTCTTGCGTTCTCTTAACAAAGGTATATGATCCTTGATACTCTTTAAAACCAGGACTACCTCGACACCGAAGCCGTCTATAAGCCTCACATTCCCATACTACGTCCTGAAATGCATTCAAATCCTGCTGAACTTTGCTTTTGCTGGCATTAAAAGTCAAAATGACAACAGCTCTGAATCGTGTTAAAATAACTGCAGGTAAACATGAAGATCTGAGCAGTGAAAGATGTGAAGGTTGGAGCAGATACTTCTCACTGACACCTTTTATCTCACACAAACAATCTGGCTATTTTCATTATTAATTAGTGTGAGGATTATTTAAACAATTAACAATTTTTTTTAAATGTCAGAAAACAGACAAAATGACTGAAATGATTAATCAACAATCAATAGTTTGTGGTTCATTTTCTTTCAAACATCTTATGGAGGACAAAATAAATCAGATGTTCTTATTGCTTTTGTGTAATAGAAAAGGGGAGATTATTGGGTAGCTAAATAAACAGTGGTGGTAATAAACAAGTCCAAAGGGTGTCCAATGATCTGAGATGGCCCTGTGTGCAGAAAACATGGTTCACAGTGTGCTTTAACACACACTTGATTGTGTCTTCCTGCCGTGTGTTTGAATAACTCACATTCCCTCTGCAGGCGTGTTGTTTCATTCCAAGTTCACTGAACACAAGTGCATACTCATGCTGCTCTGAATCACTGTTGGAAAGCAACACACCGGTATTTGAGCACATTTTAGACCCTTGTAGTTCATATACTCATTTAACACCAAAACCGCTTCGTATGTTTGTATGTGTTTTCCTTCCCACCAGGTGAATTTATCAGTGAACTCTTATCTGCTTTCATTCAGGTCAGAGGTGTGTAATTGTTCTCATATTGTGCCGGGAATCAATTGTTTTGGTGTGAGTTGCTGAGTGTTGGAGATATTGACCATTTTATATTGGCAACATCTCTACAGCTGATAAAATGTTTTGGGGAGAACTGTCCCTTTAAGCAGTCATGTTGGTAACTATGCAGAATTACCCAATTTTAAAGTGTATGTAAGAACATTTACCAACTGCAGCTCAACAAAAAGAAAGACAGAATTAAAAGTATTGCCTGAGAGGAGCTCCTATTGTAAAAATACACACAAGTCAAAACTACAACATGCAAAAACACCGGCGTGGTCCTTTAACCTGGCATAACAACGTGTGCTTTATTTGGAAAGGAATGATAGAACTGTCGGGAGCGCGAGCTCCAGACCACAAGCATCTGTCACAACCACTCACATGTTCAACCTGCACACCGATTCTCGTCCCGTACTGCTGACATTTCCCTTCAGAACGACTACACAAACTACAGCGGGTTAATGGGGATAACGGGGAGCCACGAGGAAGCACTTGGGTTTCACGGGACTCTGCTCAGAATAGACCCGGCACTCACAGGCAGTCCACTGATCAAAGACACAAGCTCCATGTGAAATACTCCCAGCGGTGTTCACAGTAAGTCAGGTCATGGGACCGCGGCATCATTGATGGTCAACTGGCTCTTTGTCAGTACAATTCCATTATGTCCAAAGTATGAAAAAAGGTGTTTTTACAAAAAAAAAAAAAAAAAAAGTTTTTTAAAAATCTTTAAATACAAATATATACTTACAAAAATCTCACAAATGTATATGTACATTAAAAAACATACCAAGTATATTCTGTAAGTCCGAGAAAAATCACAAGAAAATAATGAAGTGGATTATCATTCAATTTGTCACTAAGCAGTCTGCGTGAGGGACGGGGTCAGACCACATCACACCGTGGTCTCGCCCTGTTTACTGTTGGCCAGTCTCGTGTAAAACCTCCGCCATGAGTTCAGGGTCTTCCCAGACCAGATCCAGAAGCCGGAGGTGATGCCCACGATCAGCGTCATGAGATACTTTATCATGAAGACGGTGAAGTCGGGACTCATGTTGGGGTGGCTCTGGACGGGACACGGCACGGCGTACGTCTTGCACGTCTGGCCGATCCACGTCCTCTCCCACTGCTCCCGGAAGGCCTGCTCGTAGAAGTAGCAGGCGATAACGATGGTGGCCGGCACGGTGTACAGCACGCTGAAGATCCCTATCCGCACCATCAGCTTCTCCAGCTTCTCCGTCTTGGTGCCGTCGTGCTTCATGATGGTGCGGATGCGAAACAGGGACACAAAGCCCGCCAGGAGGAAGGAGGTTCCGATGAATAGGTAGACGAACAGCGGCGCCAGGACGAAGCCCCGGAGCGCATCCACGCTGTTGATGCCCACGAAGCAAACCCCGCTCAGCACGTCTCCGTCCACCTGCCCCACGGCCAGGATGGTGATGGTCTTAATGGCAGGCACGGCCCAGGCCGCCAGGTGGAAGTACTGAGAGTTAGCCTCGATGGCCTCGTGGCCCCACTTCATCCCCGCCGCCAGGAACCAGGTGAGAGCCAGGATGACCCACCAGATGGAGCTGGCCATGCTGAAGAAGTACAGCATCATGAAGAGGATGGTGCAGCCCTCCTTCTTAGTGCCCTGCACCACAGTCCTCATGTCGTTGTCGAACCTGTCATTACAAACCACCTTGTCCTCCAGCAGAAAGCCAGCGATGTAGGCGATGGACACCATGGTGTAGCAGCCAGAGAGGAAGACGATAGGCCGCTCTGGGTAGCTGAAGCGCTTCATGTCCACCAGGTAGGTCAGCACGGTGAATAACGTGGAAGCACAGCACAACACCGACCAGATGCCAATCCATATCCGCGCGAATTTCAGCTCCTCTTCGCTGAAGTACATCATCCCGTGAGATCTCTGGGGCTCGCAGGGAGCACCGCAGTTCTCCAGCCCGACGAAGCGATAGTTCAGGTATGGGGGCACCCGGAGCGAGGGCGGGCACCGGAACTGACCGTTCGTGTGGTCGGTGCGCACGGTGGGGTCTTGGCCGGGACCAGGGCCGTCTGGTTCGGCCCGGTCCGACATGTTTTGCCCGACGCACAGCTCCCCGGCGCCGTGAACCGGGAAGGTCTCGCACGCGAGGCTGTCGGGCCACTGGAAACCAAACTTGTTCATGAGCGCCTCGCAGCCCTGCCGCGCGCGCTCGCACAGAGAGCGGCACGGGGGCAGCGCCTGCTCCAGCACCGTGCACACGGGCGCGTACATGGAGCAGAGGAAGAACTTTAGATCCGGGGAGCACTGCACTTTGACCAGCGGGTAGAACTGGTGGACCTCCAGCCCCGCGTCCTCCTGGTTGGTGTGACCGAGCAGGTTCGGCATTATGGTCTCGTTGTACGCGATGTCCGTACACAGCGGAATGGAAATCGGCTGGCAGAACCCGTGCTCCGGTATGGACATGCCTCGGTCCCCGCCGCCGTACTGCCCGTTGACGTTTAGAAACAGAATGGAGAACAGTAAAGTCAAACCCGCGCGGAGGAGTCTGTAGTGCACCATGGTGGAGACCGTGTCCGCCGTAGCCTACTTTCTATTTGTTACTTAACTAACTCACGTTACCTCACCGAGCTGCAGCCTACTTCCTTGAAGGCTCTTTGTTGGCGTTTCTTTGCAGGCTAAAAGCAGCTTCTTCCAGCCGAATTCCACAGTTCCTTTCCTCCGGCTTCCCTCCGCGTTGATACAAGAATGTGAAGACAAAAAAACCTAGAATGTAATGACAACCTCGGCTCCTTCGGTTGAAATCCACAAAAAAACGAGCCGTACTCCCGCAGCAACGGGTCCGCTCCAGTCTTCGGTCTGCCCGACACGGCGTCAGTCTCCGTTCAAACCTGTTCTTCTCGCTCGCTCGCGCTCTCTCTCTCTCTCGCTCTCTCTGTCGTTCTCAGGAAATCAAGTTAGGCACCGCTCAGAAGCACTTCCGGTCAAAACATTCTAAATAAAAGCCTCTAATATCGCAAACTCAATAGTACTCAATATGTTTGAAAACTCAAATACTTGATGGCTACATGCATATTTAATTAGATAAAGTTAATGCTCTGTTGTAACACTTGTCGCAGCATGTTTATAGTAAATACAGGCAAAGAAAATAAAAAAATATAAACAGCATGGTTATCAATATATGTGTTCTGTGTATAGTTGCATTTGGGATATTAATGAGATGTTAATTAAGAATAGCATGACAAAGAAAATTATTCTTAAAACAAAAAGAATGAAATTGAAACAACAGAGATAAAAAATTGAATAGATATTTTAAGTTGGTGATGAAAAAGCAATTCAGTTTTGTTAAATCTTCCCTGAGCATGCCTCTACTAAAATACATTGTAGGTACTACTGATAGCTGTCAAAACAAAAATAGCTATATCTAATTAAATACATTTATTTGACGATTATCAGCTTTGTCAGTTCACACTATCAGCAGGCTACAATGGGATTCATCCACATTTGCACTGAAGTACTTCCTGTTTATGTTAGTCTCACTTTTACTAGCATTACTCTCTCTCTCTCTCTCTCTCTCTCTCTCTCTCTCTCTCTTAGGACCTACCAG